GGTTTTTGGAACAGTGTGCACAGATGTGAGAAAAACAAAGGAAGCGTGGTGGTTCTGTGGTTAGTATAATTTTGATTTGAATCTCCCACTTTAAAATTATTGGATTGAGTTCTGTCTTATACTAGAGCATTATCTAAGAGCTCAATGTTTAAAATCGGAGGATTTGAGTTAGACTTTGCTGATTAGTATCACATTAAGTAGAAAATGAGATAAAGATAATACATTTTTATTGTGTCTAGGAAGGAAATATTTTAGAACCTGGCAAAGACTCCTGCGGGGGAGGCCATTTGACTGTGCTGCTGACCACTGGGCAACATCTTGAAAACCAGTGGTAAATTGTCATACACAGCATGTCCCAAGTCATGGAGGTCTCCTGAGTTTTTAAATGGTTTTCTACTAAATAAATAAATAAATAGGATTTGAAAAAACAATTTTGGAGAAAACCAGATTAAAGAAATTTCAGGCTTTCTTTCTTGTAGAACTTCTCAGTGACTTTGATATGTTAACTATTACTGTGATCTCCAAGAGGTGGAACCAGTAAGGAGATAAAAAAAAAAAAATACGTCTTAAAGCAGTAACTTGTCCAGGGATAAATAGCTATTATGAAGCAAAGCCAGGAATCAGATTCAGAAGCTGTGCTTCAGAGCTCTCAGTAATTACTCTCCTAATAATGATGATGATGAGGGATGATGATGGTGTGGTAGTAAAAACTGTCATTACTGTCAACCAGTCCCTTGGTACTTGATGTCCCTTGAAAGCCTATAGTAATTCTTAGTCCAATGAATTAGTCACCTGGTGTCAAAATAACGTTGTGTCAATCACAAAAGCTCAGTGGTATACAATAATAAGTATTTATGCTATGAATGCATCTGCACCTTGGCTAGAGTAGCACTGCTGATTGCATTGGGGTCTGGCTCCAGACTGCAGGTTCAGATTGGGTCTGCTCTATGGAGTGTTCATCTTTATGGACCAGTTGTAGTTAGCGTCCTCGTGGTGGAAGCAGAGTGCCTCCATTTGAATCATGCCTGCTCATATTGGTTGACCAAAGCAGGTCACATGGCTGAAACCAAGTAAGGCAGGCAGGAATGTCGACTCTACCTTTAGTGGGAGAAAAAAAAATGCAGCCATGTAGCGAAATCCCTGGATACAAGAAAAGGCAATGGAATGGAACCAATTATTCAATCTATTATGACCCATGAGGAGAACTTTGTGTGGTAGTGTGTAATAAAAGTTTTAATCTGTTCTGATAAATAATCTATTGAACCCTGGCATCATAAATGAAAGTCCAGTCACTGCAGTGGGGAAAATAAAATTATATAAATCTTATTCCTACTCATTCAGAATTTGCTCAAGTCTGGGTTAAATAAGGTACTTGCTCTTGGAATAGCTCTAAAGGTTTAGTAAATAAACTGATAAATAGTCAACAAGTTCCTTTGTGTTCCCTTTGCTCAAGCATCAGGATGCGTTGACTAGGCCTCTCTACATCTCTGGCTGCTACACTTGGGAACATTGGGCCCTGAGGTGCAAGTGACACTCAAGTCTTAGAAGAGCTGGATATGCCCAGCTTGAGTGGGACAAGCATCAGGACCACCTGAGCTCAAAGTTGGGGAAGTTTTCAGACAAAAGGGTGACCAGAGGAAAACTGTCAAAATGAAGGAGAAATGAGGAGGCTCAGGAAGTAGAACCTGAAGAGATTCCTCAGGAAAAATGAGGGGACAGAGGAAGAGCTTTTTGTGATGATCTTGTGGCCTAAATCTTAAAGGAGAGGAAATCCTGGATCACATCTCCCTAAAAAAGGCTGGAGTTGCAGCTCAATGAAGACTGTCACTGGGTTCAATCCCCAGTATTGCAAAAACCAGGCTTTCTTTGTGTCTTCTTTAGGGGAATCTCTCCCATCCCCAAGATTAGAAATTCATTTTCTTCATTGTCTCCTAAAAATCTAAAGCTTTGATTCGTGCATTTAAATTTATATTCTATTAAAAGGGATGCTTTTTTCTGCCTGTGATGTGAGGTAGGGATTCAATTTAACTTTTCTCCATGTGGATACCTTATTATCTCAATGTATTTAATGACAGTGAGACCCCCACCCACCTGTCTCCTTGATCATCTACAGTGACCCCTCTTCCAACCACCCAGTTACCTCACAGAGGGAGATAGTGCTGGATTCTCTGCTCTCATGCATTGATGAGGATTTTTCTCATATCATGTTATTTAGTCTGACTTTATAATAAACCCTTAATACTTGACAGGGCTTCTTTGTAACTGGGTACCAACTAGATTTTAAGGAAGATTTAATAAATATAATAGAGAGAAAAGATGTTAAGGATTTGGGCCCATTGTTTATTCACAGATAACCATTATTTGGCTTCTGCTCCTTAAGACTGGTCTCAGGTAATGTCGCTGGACAAGCCTGCTCATTATTCTTTGTGCTGGTTACATTCCATTGTCAGGCAAGGGAATTGAATCATTTTAAACACAAGTCATTCAGGTTTCCCAGGGAGTCAGATGAAAGCAGTAAAATTTGACTTTTCTGCTTTTGTTTCAAGACAACAGCCAAGATATTTTGCAAAAGCCATCAACGCACTAGAAAAACAGAGCACCACTAAAATGGTACTCTGTGCCTATCCTCAAGGATCTGTGATGCCAGCATGGCTTCCACGTTATTTACACAGAGCTTTATGTTTAAAAAGCCAAGACAAGGTGACCGGATGAATGGGGAGCTTTCTCAGGGGGCTCTTAGGGACTCTGCTATAAACTCTCTTAGCCCTCACACATTTTACAACTCATTCTATATAAACAGCACAAATCTTTTTGCGCATTTTCCATGCACTGAATGTTAAATAAATTCTATTCAGTGGTGACACTGACTCCTTAGGCTGTTTATTTGGACTTCCTCAGTGGAATAGACTCATACAAACCAAATAATCTTTTAAATGTGGTGCCCAGGACATATTGTAAGTCATGCTTATGAATGGAGTTTTATATTTTCTATGAAGGATCAAAAAAAAAAAAAAGAACCCCAGAGAATGTACACACACAGGACTCACAGTTCAGCCCAAGTGCATAAAGAGCAGCCCTGGGCATGGTCAATATACACCTGTATGAATATAAATTTGAAAGCATGTTGAAAATTAGCTAACAAAGAATTAATAAAGTTGCAAAGAATTGACTATATATACATTTTTAAAATAATCCTACTTTAAAGTTTCATTTTATTTTGCCTTGTTTCTTTTATTAATGCATTATAGTTATACATAATAATTGGGTTCATTTTTAATAAAGATCATACATATATGGAATTTCATTTGTTTCATTTCAGTTCTCAGTGGCTCCTCCCCCATCTTTCCTCCTCCCTCCTCCGTTCTCCTTTCTCTGCTCTACTGGTTTACCTGTCACTCATCAATTTATTTTTTATTGGTGTTTTATAGATACCCGTAAAGGTGGAATTCACTGTGGTATAGTTGCACATGCACGTACCATAATTTTATTAGATTCATTCTGAATTTCCTCCCCTTTCTGGTTTCTCCTCCCTCCTTCTCCATCTCTTTCTACTTCATTGTTCCCTATGTCTTTAGGATATCCAATCCATCCCCCACCTTTCCCATATTCTGTCTTACCTTCTACATATTAGAGAAAACATTTGACCTTGATGTTCTGAGTCTTGCTTATTTTACTTAGCCTACTGTTGTCTGGTTCCATCCATTTCCCAGTAAATGCCATTATTTCGTTTTGCTTTATGGCTGAGTAAAACTCCATTGTGTATATACACCACATTTTCTTGATCCATTCACCTATTGATGGACTTCCAGCTTGATTCCACAAGTTGGTTATTGTGAATTGTGCAGCTATAAACATTGAAGAGCTGTATTGCTATAGTATGTTGATTTTAGATCTTTTGGATAAATACCAAGGAGTGGGATAGCTGAATCATATGGAGGTTCTATTCCTAGTTTTTTGAGGAACCTTCAGACTGCTTTCCAAAGTACTTGTATTCATTTGCAATCCCACCAACAATGTACAAGGGTGCCTTTTCCCCCACATCCTTGCCAGCATTATTATTATTTGTATTCTTGATAAATGCTATTCTGGCTGGAGCAGGATGAAATCTTAGTGTAGTTTTGATTTGCATTTCCCTGATTACTAGAGATATTGAACATTTTTTTCATACATTTGTTGACCATTAGAGAAATGTCTGGTTCTTTTGTCCATTTATTGATTGGGTTATTTGTTTTTGTGGTGCTGAGCTTTTTGAATCCTTTATATATTCTGGATATTAATCCCCTGTCAGAGGAGCAGCTGGTAAAGATTTTTTCCCATTCTGTGGACTCTCTCTTCACACTATTAATCATCTCCTTTGCTGTGCGGAAGCTTTTTTAATTTGATGCATCCCACTCATTGATTCTGGTTTTATTTCTTGTACTTTGGGGGTCTTGTTAAGCAAGTAGGTGCCTGCACCTGTGTGATGGAGAGCTGATCCTGTTTTTTCTTTTTTCTAGCAGTTGCAAAATTGCTGGTCTAATTCCTAAATATTTGATCCACTTTGATTCAACTTTTGTGCAGGGTGAGACACAGAATTATAGCTTTATTTTTTTTTTTAACACATGAATAGTCTGTTTTCCCTGCACCATTTGTTGAAAAGGTTATCTTTTTCCAACATATATTTTGGGCAACTCTCAAGTATCCCATATCAAGATGGCTGTAAATATGTGGGTTTGTCTTCTGTTCTGTTCCATTGGTCTCCATGTTTATTTAGGTGTCAAGACCATGCTGTTTTTCTTATTGTAGCTCTGTAGTATAATTTGAGATCGGATCTTGTGAAGTTTCCTGCATCATTGTTCTTGCTCAGGATTGTTTTGGCTATTCTGAGTATTTTTCTTCTTCCAAATGAATTTTATGACTGATTTTTCTAATTCTATAAAGAATGTCATTGGTATTTTGATGGGATTACATTAAATCTGTATAGTGATTTTGGTAATATGGCCACTGACAATATTAATTCTGCTTATCCACAACATTTCATGGATTTGCACATTATTCTCGTGCCGGGGCCATGCTAACCTTTTGTGTATTGTTCCAATATTAGTATATGCTGCACAAGTGAACATGGAAATATGTATTTTAATGTCACTTACTGGAGAGAACATATTCATGATTTGAGAGAGGGGATCAATAATTTACTAAGGAAAAATTGGACAGAAATAACTTAAAAGGAATACAGGAAAGAAATATATTCTGGCAAGAAAAATTATGTAATGAAAAGCAAGCAGAATTAAAACCAATAGTCAAAAGATGTTAAAATCATAGGGGATGATTGTTCAGCAATTTTGGTCTGAGCAGGAACAGTGCTCTATAGTGCTCTATAACAGCACTATTAGTATGTGCTGAAGAAGGGAATAATGGACACAATCAAGGGGAAAAGTGAGAAAAAGAATTTTGAGTTTTGTCACAGTTGTAGATAAGGAATAATACAAATCCATTCTCAAAAGCATGTATTGGGTGCTCCCAGCTTCCCCACTTCCCTACCTAGCTGCCCAGGCTCCCATAGGCTCACCTCCTTCTCTACTGTAAAACATTTCAGGTCATACCTCTCCTGGTGCCTGTAATCTAGGAAAACCTCCTCACTCAACAGTCTACCAGAATACACAAACTCCTCATTTAGGCCACAACTGACCTCAGCAACTTAAAAGGATATTTTACCAAAAGAAAAAAGTTACATTTGTATTCACATACCATATAAAAACATCTATAAATGTGTATACACATGTATATGAGTATATATATATAAATGCAAATGAACACTGCAATAGATAAATAATGGTGATATCATAATCGAAATTTTCAGTGTCATTTAGAATTCTGATATTAATAGAATTGCAAACTTTACTGAATAAGAATACAGGACACCAAAGTAAAAATAACTTGCCAGGTGCAGTGGCAGATGCCTGTAATCCTAGCAGCAGGGGAGGCTGAGGCAGGAGGATTGTGAGCTCAAAGCCAACCTCAACAACTTAATGAGACCCTGTCTCAAAATAGTAAAAGGGCTGGGAATGTGGCTCAGTGGTTAAGCAACCCCAAGTTAAATCTCTAGTATCAAAATAAAATAAATAAAAACAAATAACCTGCAGATAAACCAACTAAGAGTTATTAGTGTGAGTATGCCTGGATGCAATATTCAGGACATGTTAATACTTAAAAATTGTTCATTATTTAAAATTCAAATTTAACTGGGCATTTTATTTTGGCAAGCTGGTTAGAGGCACTTTTATGGGTGGCTTGAATAAAATGGGGCATTTTTGCCCTCCCCAAAAGAAAGACTTCAGAAAGCCTTGAAAATCTGTGACATGTCCTCACCAGAGTTCTTTCTAAAGATTCCCTTTCCTCCCCTCTCTCCCACAGATTCCACTCACCTTGGCTGCTTCCCAAACCTCTCCTCTCTCCCGGCCTCCAGCAGCAACACACCAGCAGGGCTGGATCTCTCCACATCCCTGTCCTCTCTCCTGCCTTCCTCCAGCCTCTGGGATCCTTTGCTTCACCCATCCCATGTTCCAGCATCTCCTTTCCTCTGTATGCTAACGGAGCTCTTCCTGACACTTTCAGTTCACCTCTCTAGACTGCAGAATAGACAAAGGCCTGGAGATCTAGCGGAAGAAACTAGAATACCTGCTGAAAGTTCAGAGGATCACGACGATGAATGATCACGCAGCAACGTTTTGAGGCCTCTCTTAGGTCCTACAAGAGTGTTCTCAGTCCTTAGGGACAGAATCTCTCTCCTCTTTCCAGGGCCATTCAGGTAATCAGGAGGCTCCTGGTCAATCTGAGGTTTTATCAGAGTTACTGAAATTCTCCTTGTCATGCCTATTGGCTAAGGGCAAACGTCCTGAGACCACAGGCCTCTCAGGGAATAAGCACTTGAAGTTTCCACCCTTCAAAGGGCCAACTCTTCCCTGGGCTTCAACTATGTCTCAGTGCCTGGGAGTCTCCGCATTGTTTCCTGGTCCCTCTTCCTGGTACAAGGCTGAATACAAGCCATGACAACAGATGTCCCCGGCCTCATCTGTGATCAGGGAAGGCAATTTTCCACACTCAGTTGCTAGATCGTTTTTGGCAGTTCCCTTAATCGGATTTTAAAAGTTCCCTTCAATTCCTAGTTTGCTGAGAATCTTTATCAAGAAGACTTTTCCTGCAGCTATTGGGATAACCATTTTTCTGCTAATATGAGAGGTTACAAAGGTTTTTCAAAGGTGAAACCAGCCTTATATTACTAAAGGAGACCCCAAAAAATGGTCATGAGGGTTATCCTTTTTACAGATCACTGGATTCATTTGCTAATATTTTCATGGAATTTTGAAAATCTTTTTTTATTAAAGAGAGAAGCTGGTAGTTTTCTTTCCTCGTAATATCCTTTTTCAGGGCTTGTTATGCCAGTTTGTGGATCTCATAAAATAAGTTGGAAAGTGTTCCCTCTTTTTCAACTCTCTGAGAAGAATTTGAATAAAATTGGTTTTGTTTCTTCCTTAAACTGGAGGTTTTCTGCACAGATGTCTTCCTCTTCATATCCTGGATTTTGCTCTCTCTCTCTCTCTCTCTCTCTCTCTCTCTCTGACTGCTTGTATTTCCTTGAACAGTGTTACTAAGGATTTACTAATTGGTAGGATTTGATCTCTCCAAATAAAAGCTTTTGATTTTGTTGATTTTTCTCTGTTGTATAGCTATTTCTTATTGCCGTGATTTTGCTTTTATCTCTATCATTTCCTTCTACTTTCAATGGAATTCACTGGCTGAACTTTCCCTAGTCCCTTGAGAAAGGTGCTTAGACTGTTTGCTTTTAGCTTTCCCTTCTAATACGTGGCTGTAAAACTATGCATGTCTTTATACGTGCAGATTTAGCTGCATCCCACAAGTTTGATCTGTCATATTTTTACCACTTAGTTCAGTTTATTATTGAATTCAATGTAATTGCTCCTTTACCCATGGGTTATCAGAAGGGTTTACCTTAAATTCAAAATATGTAAGGATTTCCCCATAGTGTTTCTTATTGATTTCGTGCTTAATTCCACTACTTTCAGATAAGATATTCTACATGGTCTCCATCCTTTGAGATTTGTTGAGATTGTTCCATAGCCAAGAATATGATTTCATTTGGTAAATGCTCCTTGTGCAGTGGAAAGGAGTCTGTATAGAAGTCTTTATATACAAATTTGATAGTTTGTTACTCCTGCTTCCTAAGTTTTCTAGATATTTGCTGAATTTCTTTTTGTTCTATCTACTTCTGAGAGTAATTTGTTAAAACATACAAGGATGTACTTTTTGTGAATTGTGTGAATATGTCTATTTCTTCCTTATTTCTCCTAGTTTTTTTTTTCTTTATACAAAGTAAGGCTATTTTATTTATTGCATCAAATTCAGGATTGAATGTGTTTTATCTTTTGTCATTATAAAATATCCCTCTTACCAACCTAGGTGCCCTTCCACAGATAAATGGACAAAGAAAATGTAGTTCATGTACAGAATGGAATACTACTCAGCCACAGAGAAGAGTAAAATTATGAGATTTGCTGGTAAATGGATGGAATTAAAGACTATCATGCTAAGTGAAATAAGACAATCCAAAAAAAAAAAGGCTGAATGTTCTCTCTGATACATGGGTGATAATACACAATAAGGGTGGAGGGGGTAGGAATAGAAGTTCATTGGACTAGACAAAGGGGAATGAAAGGAAAGGATGGGGTATGGGAATAGGAAAGACCGTAGAATGAATCAGACATAACTTTCCTGTGTTCATATATGAATATACAACTAGTGTAACTCCACACCATGTACAACCACAAGGATGGGATCCTAATTACAAAAAGTTATACTCCATGTGTGTGTAATATGTCAAAATACACTGTACTACCATGTATATCTAAAAAGAACAAATAAAAAAAAGAAAAAAGTTTCCTCTTAATACTTAGTCATATTTCTTACACTGAAGCTCATTTTTTCACCAAATAAAATAGTTTGACTAGTTTCATTATTTTAATATGTATATTTTAAATATTTTTCAATCTTTTTATTTTCAATATTTCTATATCATTCATAGTTAAGGTGAATCTTGTGAAAGTAGCAAATACTTGGGTGACATTTTCTTTTTATTTAACAAAATTGGTCATTTACTTATAGTTATCATCCATTTACATCTAACATAATTACCAATATATTTGAGTTTGAAATTGCCATTTATTTTCTGAGTGTCCCACCTATTACTTTTTTTTTTCTCTTTTTTCTCATCTTTGGGTTTATTCAAGTGCTTTTAGTTATCCTATTTCCCCTTCTAATAGCTTGTAAATAACATTTGCTCATGTTATCTTTCATGATCCTCTGAACAGCCTCTTAAGATCAGTTTGTTAAAGAATGTTTAAATGTATCTCACTAACATCTTAACAGTGATACTTTTGAAAACATGGACAAACCAACACCCCCAAATGAAAACAAGAAAAAGTTTAGCATGCACCATGAGTTTGCATTAGACTTTAGAGATAAAAGAGAAAATTCTGTCAGTAGATATTGGGCTAATGAGATTTACATTCTCTTTCCTGGATGCTCAGTATAAATTAATGTAAATTTATAATTAACAGTCCTGTAGCTAAAATTTACCATGCTCTTGGGGGAAAAAAATGTCAAAAAGTGAAAGGGCTGAGTTGTCTAGGAAGGAGTGGGGACAGTGATGCTAGAGTTTACCAAACAACCTGAATACATGTGGAGATCACTGATTATAACTAGAATCTATAAGAAGACTACTGAAGAACATAGTTGTTCCTCAGTACTCACAGGGGGTTGATTGGTTCCAGGACACACCGCCCTCCAATACCAGAATCCATAGAGGCCAAAGTCCTTTATGTACAATGGTATAATACTTATGTATAACCTACACAAAAACACACACACCCATACACTTTTGTATTTTAAAAATGCTTTATTTTTATAATCTAGTTTATTTAAATTAATTTGGCACATTATAATTATACATAATAGCGGGATTCATTGTGACATATTCATACATGCACATAATATAATTTGGTCAATTTCATTCCCCCGTCGCTCCGCTTTCCCTCTTCTCCTTC